GTCCCGGGAGGGCTCGGGAGGCCGGCGCCCTGGCCTGTGGCGTGCCCGGCGAGGCCCTCCGGTAACCCAGGCGCCCCGTTTTTGTTCCAGACTATGTGGAGAAGCCTTTGAAGTTGGTCCTGAAAGTGGGAGGGAACGAGGTCACCGAGCTGTCCACGGGGAGCTCCGGACACGACTCGAGTCTCTTCGAGGACAAAAACGAGCATGACAAACACAAGGACAGAAAGCGGAAAAAGAGGAAAAAAGGAGAAAAGCAGGTGCCTGGGGAAGAAAAGGGGAGAAAGCGGAGACGAGTGAAGGTAAAGGTGGTCGCGTGGCCTAGCCGCTGTGGTCTTTGTGTCCAGGGAGACGCGAAAGCCGGCCGAAATCGGCCTTGGCTTGAGGAGGGGCGGGACGGCGGGACGCGGATCACCTGTGAGTTTCGGCGAGTCCTTCCGTGCGCTGTGAGGCAGTTGTGCTTGCGGCTAACCAGCCAAGTTCTGGTTTGCAGGAGCGGCGCCCAGAGAGGGTGGAAAGTGATGCCCGGAGTTCAGGCTTTGTCAAAGGGAGTCGTTTCAAAACGGAGTAGGGTCTGCTGGCATTCTGAAAGAGATACAAGGCCAAGTGTATATCGAATAACTCATCTTTTAAAGCGAAGTTTGAGGCTGTTGAAGAGAAAATGGGATTAGAAACTGCAGTAACACCGGGAATAAAAATAGGCATTTCCTTAACCATTTACATTGGGTAGGAAAGGGTAAGGAGCTGCCCGATTTGCAAGCCCAACTTTCCTGCCAAAGGTGATTACATATGTAGTCTGGAATTACCTTAGAAATCTGTACTTCCCAAAAGTAACCTGTCACAAAGTGAGTTACTGAAGCCAGTTACCGCATCTTGAAGGTGCGTCTTTCCCTAGGCTGGGGTTGTACGTTTTGTTTTGTTAAATAGCATAGGTGTATCTACTCCAGATCTGTGCCTTTCTGCCCCAGTTTTTATTTCCTTTGGCTAAACTGTGACATGTATAAATATCCCTTTTCTTTCCTAAATGATTAAAGCATGTGTGCATTTTCTTATACTTGTCATGATACAAAAGCACATGAAACTTTTTAAAAAGACTTCTCCACCCTAATTCTTCTAGTTTTTTAAATTGTTATTAGCAATGTTATTCATGAGTGTAATTTTTAAAATCAAAAGTACGAGACTTAAAACACCAGCCTCCTACAATGTTATGTCGTTTTTACTTCCTAAACTTTTATTTATCTCCGTTTCCAAATTAGTGATTTAGGCCGGGAGATGGCTCAGTAGAATAAGCGTTTGCCTGGCAAGCACAAGGGCCTGAGTTCAATCCCCGGTTCCACCAAAACAAACAAACAAACAAACAAAAAAAAAACAAATTAGTGATTTATTGGCTTATACAGTATCTTCTACTGGCATCTTGTTAAGAACAATTTAAGTTAGTATTCTTCTACTCTCCGCACTTTGCCCTACACCATTCTCACAGTAGAGGTGCATCACAGTTAACTTGTTAAGTCAGTATTTAGTGGTTATTTTATTATTCACTAGAGATAAGTACAGTACACAAATACAGGTATGTTCTGGGCCAGCTAGTTAATTGCTTTTATTTTTGCTTACTAATTCTTCCCAAACTTCTGTGTTTGACAAACTTGTCTGAGTTCTGTTTCTCAGATAATTTGCCCTTTTCTTTGTTTAAGGCATCATCATATGGCCTCCATCTCATGCTGTGGGCCTTCTGGGATTCCCTTTGCTTATCTCCTGGATCCCATATTTTCTTCATTTACTCTCTTGTTCTTACAGTATTCACTCTAGGAACTTCCTAAGAAAGCATGTATACTATAGAAATGACCTCTGAATATATAGTCTTTAGAAAGCCTGCATGAGTAGATTTTTATAAATTGTTGCCTGCTGGAAAATCTTCTACATAAGGATCTACATCCTTATGTAGATCCACTATATAGGTTAATGGTTAGAGTCAGTATGGGATTTTAGATTGAAATTTATTTTCTGGACTGGGGAGATAGCTCAGTAGAATAATTGCTTGCCTGGTGAGCATAAGGGCCTGAGTTCAATCCCCCGTTCTGAAAAAAAAAAAAAAAAGTTATTTTCTCCCAAAATTTTTAAGGGTTTTGCTCTGTTGTCTTCTGTCTTCCCATTTTGCCATTTAAAACTGTCTCTCGTACTGGGAATTGAACCCAGAGCGTATATACTGAGTTACATCCCCAGCCCCCACTTTTTTCTTTTTTTTTTTCCTTTTTTTTGAGAGGGTCTCACTGAGTTGCCCAGGCTGGGCTCAAGTTTGTGATCATGTTGCCGCAGCCTTCTAGAATGCTAGGACTATAAGCATGTGCCACACCACTCCTGGCTTTTCTTCAAAGTTTTAGGATCTTCCTCCTGTTTCAAGTGCTCTACTTAGTAATAGATACTGAGGTCTTCAACTTGGAGCTGTTGAAATGTTTCTGTAATAAATTGCTTCCTTCTGTTTTCTGTCTTGGGAACCACTGGTATTTGGATGTTAGGCTCCTAAACTGTTCCCCTAGTTTTCTTACATTTTCTCTCCTGTATTTTCTCTAAATTCTTCAGTTTGTTTGCTTGATCTCTTTTATGTTAATTATGTCTGTTAGTTGTCTATTTGTCTTTTTTTTTTAAATTAAAAAAAAAATTTAATGAGAAAAATAGCAAGATAGTTTCAAAACGGGTTAGTAGGACAGTTACGATAATTAATAGATTGCATATTGTTGTCTTGTATTTGTCTTTAAATATGCAGGTCCAGGACCGCAGATTAAGCGCCTGCAAGCAGGTACAGGGGCCGGGGGATTTGATCCTGGCCCCGCCCCAAGTGTACTGAGACTGATTCAGACTGCATGGTGGCAAGCCCCTGTAATCTCAGCACTTGGGAGGCTGTAAACAGAATCACTACGAGTCTGATCTAGTAGTGAGACCCTGAGCACCCTTAGGCCCTTCCTTAAAATACAAAAAGTAAATACACACACACACACACACACACACACACACACGTCCAAAGAGCTGATGAACTGCCTTGTGCTGTACCTTACAGATATTTTCTTTTGAGTGTCTCAGTTTTTCCTGAAAAAATTCTTCTCTTCATGGGAGACTTTTACTTCAACACCAGTTTTATGGAGTCAGCCAAGGGAAGGGTGCTAAAGATCTTACCATCTCATTCCCTGCTTTCATCTTACATCTCACCCCACTTTTGACATCTCAGAGTCTACAAATTGTGACTCCTCTGTGTCCAAGTTCTGAGTGTTTCCAGGCTTCTAGGATTTTAGCTCTTTTTCCTGGGCTTCCCCCTCATGATGTATAGGCAGTTTCTTGTTCTCTGTTCTGAACACCTTCATTAGCCTTTCATTTACCAAATGTTGACCTCTTCCATGCTCTGTTCTCTCTTGTCCTCTTTCTTGCAGTACTGGGGATTAAACCTAGGACCTTTACACTGAGCTACATCACCAGCCTTTTTCATTTTTTGAGATGGGGTCTTGCTAAATCCCAAAATTACATGGGATTGGCTTGAACTTGTGGTCCTCTTACCTTCATCTTCCAGAGTGCTTGGAATTAATAGATGTGCACCCCCATGCCTGCCTCTTCTGTGTTTCTGTTTCTGCCATCCTATTAGTTAGCTAGAATTAACCATTTTTGTCCACTTCTGGTTTTAATTCTGGCAGCTAGTTCCCTATGTACACCATTGAAAAACTCATAGTCTTCACTTACTTTATCAATTTTCTCATTCTTTTTATTGAATACATAGCAATGAGCTGTATGGATGTACCATACTTAGTACTACTTTTTCTTCTAAATAATGCTGTAGTACACCTACTACACCCTTTTGTATGTTTTGATAAAGATCTCTTCTAGACAGGTTCCTGTGTCTCTCATTATAAGCCACAATCATATTTTGAAATCATTTAGAACTAAGGTGTGTTAATACCCAGTTTCCTCTGTAACATCTTACAAAGCAGGTATTTGCATGACAAAGGAATGACTGGGCCCGAAGTCCCAGTTTTCTAAGACTGAGAACTAGGAACAATGGGACATTTCTAGGTTCTAAGGTGTCATTGGTTTCACAGAAGCACTCTGAGTTGTCCCTTTTTTCTTGCCACATGGGGCATTTTAGAGGGGTTCTTTCTGCTTCTGTTGTCTAGGGAAAGAGTCTTCATAGTAGAATGCCTCTTTGAACTGTGTATTGGATCTCTAAGGATTTGGGGAGTCAATGGTCAGGTCAGCTGTGTGACATGGTTTGGCCTAGGAAGGGCTGGAGGATGTGTGGTTCTAAGGAGCTGGTGACTTGTCTCAGTTCCCTGCAGTGAGCTGAAAAAAGGCCGTAAGAAAAAGGATACCTTTTCCTTTTTAAACTGTTCTTGTAAAAGGCATACAGGGTTCTTTCTGTGTTTCATCAGCCAGAACCTGCTCACGTGGCCACCTTAGTGGCACTGGGAAATGTATAATTGCAGAGAGTGAATGGTATGTGAGCATTTTAGCATGGTACACTGTTACTTTTCCTAGTCCCTGTCACTTAGGGAAAGAAGTTGTTTGGGAGAAGCATGCAAATATAAAATGCTGTAACTTTTCAGAAGTGTCATATAACTGACATCTTTTAGAAAGACCTTTACAAAATTAGTTTATAATGATCCAGTAAGTACAGTAGGATCAATGGTATTTCTTCCTGTAGAATAATAGTATTTAATGCTAACTAAAGCATTAAGGGTACTGTATTCCTTGGTTAGCCAGTCCATAACTTAGATAACACCTTTGAAAGTGTGCAGAATTTTTTTTCCTAAAATATTTGGTTGCTGAGCAGTTGGCAAAGTATTTGGATGCTGGATTAATTCTTGCTGTGTATCATTATCTTTTCCTTAAGATTCACCCTTGCATTTTCAAGTCACATATTTTCATAGCATATAAAAGGTAAAAGAACAGTTTGTGAAAAGGTGTTCATACCATTTGGTTAAGTAATAGAGCATAATTTAGTAAAACTGAGGTTTAGGGGATAAAATTCTCTAAGTTGCTAAAACAGTGATTTATAAAAATTAAAGTTGTGTTTATAAAATCATTTTACCTGAAATGATCATACTCATTGATTACTAAAAACCTACATAAGTGCTTTAGTAACTACTAGTATTAACCACATAACACATTACTGCTTTCTGTATTGAGTGCATTCAATATGTTACTTTGTTCTTTAGTATAATCCTATGAAATTGGTATAGTTATTTATTCTTTTGTCTTTTTAATTTCTTCTTTTGTAGTAAAGTATACATAGCATAAAATTCACCACCGTAACCAACTTTAA